ACACACACACACACACACACACACACACACACACACACCCCTGTACGAATGTTTTTAGTAGCTTTATTCTTAATAGCCACCCTCTGGAAACAACCCTGTAGTAGACAGAATACTGGCTCCCCAAAGATGTCCGTATCCTCATCCCTGGAACCTGCGAATATGTTACGTTACGTGGCAAAAGGAATGTGAGTAAGTTAAAAATGCTTGAGCAGGGACATTATCCTGGAGTACATACATAAAAGTGGCCACAATGTCTTGCAGTTCCTCCTATCAAGAAACGAAGTCAGGCTGTGGTATGAGCAGCCTATCCCTTGGGCTACATGACCCTGCAAACCCCATGGTGCTAGAGTTTGCGGTGGTAAAATAAAAATGCTGGAAGGAGTCTCTGCTATGTCCTAATTATAGAGTCACAGCATAGACTCCTGCAGTACTGGAGCAAGACCACACTGTCTGCAGCTGACAAATTTGAAAAGCAACTCCTAGCACCCTACTGCACCCCGGAAGGAAACTAACTGCCAGACCAAGGAACATCAAGTAACTGAGAGTCTCATGCCTCCTATCATAAAGTAGATATTCAGCCAGACTAAACAAGCCATAAACTCGGCCGGACAAAGTAATTCATCGTTCAATGAACAGGAGACATTTGGAACTGGATTATTACGACAGGTCTTGAAGACACAAGTAAGTTGCACAAAAATAATGGCCTAGACCTCCATATTCCCTGCTTGTATTGAATTAAAGTTTCTCCCTCACTTCATACCCATAGCCTTATAAGGAGTATCCTATGACCAGCTGATGAAAGGAAAAAACCAAGGCCTAGTTCACAGTTGGACTTAAAATCTCAGTGCCAGTTGAAAACAGACTGTTGTTGCACTAGAACCTCACTCAGGGGTGGCCCTGAAAGGCAGTGATGAGGAAAATCCTGTGCATAGAGCTTCAAACAGTACACCTGGTCATCAACTTGGTATAAAAAGAGAAGTGGCCTGAATAAGAATATACATGGACCCCTGAGCAGTGATGAATGGGTTGTTTGGTTGGTCAGGGGCTTAGAAAGAGCAAAACTCCATGATCTGGGGGAAGAAGCACATGAATGGACCTATGGCAGCAGAAACGAAGTGTGTAGCCTTGGGATGCCTGGGTGGTTCAGTGGGTTAAGCATCTGCCTTCAGCTCAGGTCATGATCCCAGGGTCCTGGGATTGAGTCCCACCTCGGGCTCCCTGCTCACAGGGAGTCTGCTTCTCCCTCTCACTCTGCCTCTCCCCCAGCTTGTGCACACACACGCTCTCTCTCTCCCAAATAAATGAATAAAAATCTTAAAAAAAAAAAAAAGTATGTAGCCTTTTCTCTTCTGCACCAGTGCCCGCCAATGTGTGGCCACTCAACAACCAAGTGGATAGGATGACTCCTCCACTAGAGATCAGCTAACACTTGTCCTTGTCAACCTCCATGCTTGCCCAGTGTGTCCAGGAACAGAGTATTGTGGTGGCAGGATTGGAGGCTATTCATTCACCCAATAAAGCAACGTGGGCTTCCTCTTACCAAAGCCTGTATAGCTACTACTCCTGCTGAATGTCCAATCTGTCAGCATCAAGGTCAACGCCAACCCCCTGAAATGCTACATCCCTGAAGGAAACCAACCAGCTATTTGGTGGCAAGATGATACCGATTTCTTTCCACCCCGGAGGGCTAGCACTTCATTCTTACTGGGATTAATGCATTTCAGTACTCGGTAGTACTATGTTATGTAGGATCCCAAGATGCTAAATCAGACACTCCATGAGTCCACTGATAGTGGTGCTGGCAAAGACATGATAGGTAGACAACACTTTACATCTTTCCAATAATTAAATACTTTTGTGACAACAGGAGTGATATAAGTAAATGTGATTTTTTATATTGTGTAATGAAACGTGTCAACATTTGGAAAATCTACATAACTACATAACTAAATCTACATGACATAGTTTTCCAAAGATTTTACAAAATTAGGTATGGTACAAGATCCATTCAAGGTGAAAGACCAATAAATTTTAATGGAATGGGTACAAAAAGTTCAAAGAGTTTCATATTCTACATTACAAGATATTTAAAAATGGGAAGTCTTTAATATTTCCTAACAACACTACCATTTCTGGCCCACCTCATGTCTGTACAGACCAATTTCCATCTGATATCATTTTCCTTCAACCTGAAGAACTTCAGAATCTCTTCAAGTCCAGGAAGGAATTCGCTCAGCTTTTGTTTGTATAAGTCTTTACTTCAATTTCATATTTGAAAGATATTTTCATTTGATGTAGAATTCTACCCTGACTCACTTGAGGATGATCTTCTCTCTACTATTTTCTAAGTTGCATTGTGTCTGGAGAGAAGTCTGTAGTCATTCTTATCTTATCTTTTCTTTTTTTTTAAGATTTTTTATTTTTAAGTAATCGCTACACCCAACGTGGGGCTCAAACCCACAATCCCAAGATCAAGAGTCACAAGCTCCACTGACAGAGGGATTCCTGTACAGCAGGAATTGGCCAACTTGCCCTGTAAAAGACAGACCGTAAATATTTTAAGCTGTGCAGGCCACACATGGACTCTGCCATATATTCATTTTAAAAAGCAACTCTTTAAAACTGTGTAAATCATTCTTAGTCCTCTACAAAAGCAGGCTGTATCTGGAATTGGCCCCCAAACCATAGCATGGTAACCCCCACTCTACACGATTCTGACCTGCAAACTCCAGATGCCTAGCCTTCCTGAGCCCCAATCTGTCTCCTTAACTTAGTGATATCACTGTGTTCTGTTTGGGTTTCTCTCCCTGCTTCATGTGAAAATGGCCTCCGCTTAGGAAGCCAGGAGAATTGTAGGGTTCATCTCACTTCTTACCCTTCTCTCTAGGGTCATAGTCCTACATGGTCATACAATGCTCTCAATAATTCTAGTTTTCCAAAAAAGTAGAACAACCGGGTTCCTATGTATACTCTTGGTGTATTTTCACTTTTGATAATGAGTAACCCTGCTTCATTGTGTGTCTTTTGAATTACCTGTGTCATCTGCAAGAGTTAGGACCTTGGATGTCAAGGATTCATGTGTAAATCTATTTTTCTTAACTCATGATGCCAGTTTTCAAACTAATTTTACCAAACTACACTCCCACCATCAGTATAGGAGTCTTTCTATTAATCTCCGTCTTCTCAACACTTACTGCCACAGTTCTGTTTTTTCTCATATGGTGGGCATAAAATTATATCTTAGTATGGTTTTAATTTGCATTTCCCTGGAGTATATTTTCATATCTTTCCTGGCCATTTGTGCTGTCTTTCTATAAAGTGTTTGTAACATCTGCCCAATTTTATATTTGGATTGCTTTTGAAGTACTTCTTATTGAGGTTTTTTTTTCTTTTAATGCATGCTAATCCTTTGTTAGTAATGCGTGCTCCAAATACCATTTTGCAATCATGATTTGTCTTTTCACTTTATTACAACTTTTGATGAATAAAAGTTCATAGTTTTAGGGGCGCCTGGGTGGCTCAGTCATTAAACGTCTGCCTTCAGCTCAGGTCATATTCCCAGGGTCCTGGGATCGAGCCCCACATCCAGCTCCCTGCTCAGCAGGAAGCCTGCTTCTCCCTCTCCCACTCCCCCTGCTTATGTTCCCTCTCTCGCTGTCTCTCTGTCAAATAAATAAATAATCTTAAAAAAAAAGTTCATAGTTTTAACGTAGTCAGAAGAGCAATCTTTCTCTTTATCATTTATGCTTTTTTGTGTCTGCTTTTAAGAAGCCTTCCCTAGGGGCACCTGGGTGGCTCAGTCGGTTGAGCATCTGCCTTCTGCTCAGGTCATGATCCAGGAGTCCCGGGGTTGAGCCTCACGTCAGGCTCCCCACTCAGTGGGGAGTCTGCGTCTCCCTTTGACCCTCCCCCCCTCATGCTCTCTCTCTCTCTCTCACTCTCTCTCTCAAATAAATAAATAAAATCTTTTAAAAAAAAGCCTTCCCTATCCTGAGGTCTTAAAGATATGATCCTGTATTTTCTTCTAAAAGTTTTAAAGTTTTGTTTTTGATGTTATGTCTTTTATCCACATTTTTTTTTGTTTATAGGGAGAAAGGAATTCAGTTCATTTATTTTCCATTTAACCATTTATCCCAGCACCGTGTACTGAATGGCCCATTATTTTTATTAAAGTATAGTTGACATATTCTTGATTACTAGAGCTTTTGAGCAACAGTATGTGATAGAATGCATTCTCCCATCTCGACTTCTTCTTCATTAGGGTTTTGGCTCTTCTTGGTACTCCATATAAACTTTAGGATAAGTTTG